GTTAAATAATAAAATCAAGATTTAGTATTGGGTTTCTTTATGGATACCTATTGTAAATACTTCTCATATACATCAGATATCATCATGGGTACTGGCTCTAGTAGACTCCCTGGAATAGTTCCCAATTGCTGGAAGCAAATGTAAATTTAATAGCAACAAGGAACACTCCCGTTCCTGGATGCACTGTATACTGAGGGGAGAGACATAGGCCAGTGCTACTATTAAGCCGTTGACAAAAGCTCGGTGTGTTTACAGCAGTAACAGATGGAAAGAAGAAATCAAATGATATTGCCCATGACCCCAAAATTAATCTCACAAAACAGCCCTAGGAGTTATAGATTAAAGCATCTCTAGCCAGCTTGAAATGTGCATCGGGTTACAGCTATGACCAAATCTCCGATTGCGCCATCCGTATTTTGTGTTGTGCGTGTCCCAGTCTGATGAACGATGTATACCGCAGATACATCACATCAACCGAAGTAAAACGGCATGTGTTAGTCTATAATTAAACCCATGGAAGGCCTGCTAGCAGTTTTCATTCTACATTTTTGTCAAGGCTGCCCTACAGTTGAATAGTTTAGCCTCTTTGTTTCCATTATCATTTACTGAAGTGACAGCTCCTGCCTTGCTGAACCCACCTAAAAGAGGAATGGCTCTTCGTGTGTGAGATGATGCTCTGCAGTGATCACAAAGACATCCACGCCATAGACTGCTTTGTAGACTGTGTTTACAGGCACAGAAATACTAGAACCTCAAAAAATCACATTTGCCCTTCTTTCACCCAGAACTCCAAATTACTCAGTGTAGCTCTCCCTATAGGACAGAGGGAATGCTGGACTCCAGGATTCATTAGCTAAACAGTAATTTTACCAGTGTGGCTTCCCTTGGAGTAGTGTTTGCCCGGTGCAATGTATGTCCTGCTCTACGTTCTTTTGATGAAAGAACAGTATCCAACTGGGTAAGCCTGTAATTTTCACTTCCGAAGCCCAGAGGCTGGTATGATGGATATGAACCTTTTAATGGCTGGCACGTCAATGTGCGCAACATCCTGTTGCTGGTGTGCAGCATGGAGACCTGGTTAGAAGTGCAATTTGTACATCTCCTACTAGCGTTTTTACTGTATGGAGGGGAGGCCATTTGAATATATCTCTCAGCTTTGTTTTCTTAAACAACTTTACTAGCCAGTATGAACTAATGTAATTCCAAGCATTTCCATGGGCCAAAAGAATTAAATACAGAGAGGGACTTCCGGGTCAGTTTGAGTACCACCCCAGCACGGACGACTGAAAGCTAGGAGGGTATTCAGAAGAAGTATCAGCAGGCTTTGGTCACATGATCTTTTACTCTTCCCAGACATCTGGTACCGGTCACTGAGGGAGACAGGATTCCTTCGTCTGATCTGGTACATTCTCTAATGCTAACCATGCATGCCCAACAGCACTCTGGACTCACTGCATTCAATCTTGTCTGATTTTAGAGGCTAGGCAGCCTGGTTCCTGGCTGATCTGTGAATGGAAAAGCTCCCGGGTGCTGCAAACACCTAAGGAGCTGTGGCTGAACACTTCACCAATACAGACTGCAAAATCCAATCAGGAGGAAAGATTTCGTTTATCCTAGTCACGGCTGCTGACCTGATGATGGGGATCAAATCAATATATGCACAAATACAGAGAATGTGGTAGCAAAGAATTAAGTGGAACAGTGCTTACAGTTGAAGAAAATCTTTTCATCCTTTGAAAGAACTTCTTGAACCTCCTGTCGTTAGAACTGTAACCGAGTTCAAACAAACGCAGATTTATACCAAAGCTGAAGCCAGACTGTGAAGCTTTTGCCTTCAGGACATTACTTTCATAATTTGAGTAGGAGTCATATTCAGTCAGTGTAAATTCATTTTTGCCTTTGGTCTAAACAGAAAACAAAAACAACATATTTTGTTTCCTGCTTAGTGATTGTATACCTGAAGCATGGGGAGGGAGTACAGATACAAATATACATGTGAATTAAAGCTTGCACTTGGAAGATGAAAAGCCTTGTATAATTGCAAAGCATTATTATTGTTAACACTATGCCTTCAAGAACACTTCATTTGCAGCAGCAGGAGAGCTACTAGCTCCTCCCTATTGCAGGGACCTGAGGCACACTCAGTGAGTCACTCTTATGCAAAGAAACTGAAGTCTTAAACACAGGCATCACTGAAAGTTTAAACAAGTTTAAAATTTGAATAGGAAAAAGTTTCCTGATGGGCAACACTCAAAAATATCATGCTAAGTCATCAAAAGCATTGAAGCCAAATATATGATGTGTTTGAAATACACCTCTGATGCCCGTTGCAGGTGATTAAACTCTACGGAAGTTATCGAGGTGTCTAGGCTTTCACACAATACATACGGTGTGCTGTTAAATATCAAGCTGTTGCATGTTGATAGCTTTCTCATAGTGGGTCTCCAGACACTTTACAATTCTGTTGAAAATTAACAACACAATTCCCACCAGATGAAATCATCTTTTATAGACGGAAATGGGAAGATTATGCTCAGATTCGGTAATCAGAAGGTCCAAGGAAACTTTGCCATCTCTTTCAGTTCACACAGATCTTCATATAAGGGAGCCTGTCCTGGTTCACAGAGTGCATGTGGTATGATGACATTCTAGAACCAGGACTAAATTCAGTCTATTCCATTTGATCTCCCAAGGTTTGTAATGGTTAATAAAATGATTTAGTTATAAAGTTTTATTGGCAGTATGCACTAAAATTATTGGAATATATGTATGCAAGTTTATTTACACAAGAATCTGACACTTACCTCTGGGGTATACCTTTCTACGTTGTATGGCTTTCTAAATCTCGTGTCCACAATATAATGGGGAGAACATCCCCCAGCGTAGTACCTGTGATCAAGAACTGATCCTTCCAAGTCGTTTGTGAAAATATTTAACCTGCATAGGAATTACAGCAGCAAAATATTAAGCTTAGCATTGATTTAGGGCTGCAGAGCAAATGGCACGGCTGAGAAAGGCAAAGGGACGTTTTGCTAGGCTGAGGTTTCTTTGTTTTGCATTTCCTTATTTTGGAACTCTGACATAAAGCTTTGCCTCTTCCACTATCTGCTCAGTTCACATGCTCAGCAAAACCTAACTGCCTAACAGGTAAATAAAAGATAGAGTTGAATTTTGACACTTTGCTGGATACAGTATTACCTACAGAAGGACAATTTCACCTACCCAGCTAGGAGAGACACCAGAGCATAACTGCCACAGCACTGGCAGCACTTGCACCCTTTAGTGTGCTAAAACCATGAATATCAGAGAGCGGTGAGCACTGGCTCCTGCACTGCAAAGGAAGGTATAGAGGAGCTCTCCTGGAAACAGCAGCACAAACTGGACCAGACAAACAGCTTGACCAGGTGCTTCAAGCACACCCCAAGCTCTCCTGCACACTGGCAGCAATGCAGCAGCATCCAGCAGGGTCTTCAAAGGATGGTTTGCCACCTATTTCATCAGTCTGGATTCATTTTTGATTCACATTTCTTTGTTCTGGTTTTTCAGTCATATTTGCCTGGTTAGTCAAAGATCAACCACAGATCACTGGACAAGAGTAAAATTTGTCCCAGAAGAAAGTCTAGTTGCTGAAGCAATCTTTTAACAAAAGTGGCTCAAGAGTCATTGGGAAGCTTTCCTTTGACTTCAGTGGATGATGGATAGTAACCATAACCTGTCTGCACCCAGCAAGGATACAGCACTGCAACCTGTTCATAGGTGGGAATTAAACCAGGCTCATTTGTTTTCCACTTCTGTCCCACCACTCCGTTGGTCACTGTTAGGATAGCCTAACCTCACCCCCATGGCACCCAGCTGAGGACACGGTACTGAGCTCCACAAACTCACGCTCAAATAGTAACAAGAATCATTAGAGGAAACTTCACAAAAAGAAAAATATCGCTAATAGTCAATTTCTTGCCCCATTAATGTTCCAGGCCTCTGCTAGATCTGCCCCTCCTTATTTTGGAGAGGAAGACTTGCATGATAACAGCTCTCAAGCCGTAAAATATTAATTCTAATTTTAGAACAAACTGAAAAGCAGGGGAGCCTGCTAAAAGCAAATTACTGAGCAATTGTAGCTTCAAAGAGATGAGAAGCATGTTTCTATAATTGTCTGACATTATTTTTAATTTTGATTAAACTCAGAAGTACAAAGCTTTAGCAATGACAAGCACAGAAGCCATGTCTCCCAAGAGTGAGGAAGAAATTATCATTCTTTCCTTGCAATGTGATTTTCTTCTTTTTTTTGAAGTAAAAAGCAGTTTTCACCCAGCAGGATCTTAACAGAAAGCTGCCATAATCCGAACCAGTGAAAGCCGGATCATCAGTTCAGACATGGATTTGAATCCCCAACAAAGCTGGCACTTGTGAACATAGGGGTTGAATCCTGCCCCACTCAAGCAAAGGACAAAAATTCCACCATCTTCCACTACTGTTAGAAGCTTATCCAAGACATTTTGGTCCTGCCAAATCAATATAGTGCAAAATACAAATTCATAGCTAGATTCAGAGTTTAGGCAATCCAAGATGCTGGTTTAAGTCACCCCATGAAGAACGATATAACTGTCTGTTCAGACATTAATATACCCTCCTTTGTTTTCATTTCAAAGCCACAGTTTTAAGTGGTCTCTTGGTTCCTAAAGGCCATGACATCCCTGCTCCTCACATACCAAACTAGGCCAGAGGCTAATTTTACTTACATCTGTGCAGAATAATTGGAATATAGAATTCATCTCACTGATTAATTTCTAAAGTGTAGGACAACGCACATACATGTAGGTATTTTAGAAGTGTTTGGAGTTTACACCTCTGTTTTCACTCACTTGGTAAGTTTTGGCAATATAAAGTGCACGCACAGGCTTTCGCAGGACGTATTTGCAGATTGAGCTGATGCTCTCTCTATAGGGTTCACTGTGTACCATGTACAGTTACTTGGGTGCTTCCGTGATTTTTACTCACCACAATTCTTTCTGAAATACTGATGGAGTCAATAAGAATTTTCTCACTGGGCTTTGGATCAGGACCCAAGGACTACTGGATCATAACACTTGGATACAGCAGTTGTGACAGCTTTTCTCAGTTCAATATTTATCTTTGAGGCCTCATAAGATCTGTCCAACCTTTAATAAGAAAACGGCTCATGCTAAGGTCATTGACTTACCCTTTTGCCAGGTTTTCTATTCCCCAATATTGCTCCATCTTCTGGTCACATTTTCTAAATACTTTTCTGCAGTTTTTTTCATCTGACTGGTCCCCACAGTCATCATCCCCATTACAAAGCAGCCTCCGTGTAATGCACCTTCCTAGGATGCAATGTATAAATTACTCATAAAATAGCCAATTATTATTCTTTGTGGTAACACTGCAAAATCACAATCCCTGGGTCAGAGAGTTTAGAATTACAATAAGAGACTGCTGCAATGCATTGTTCAAAACTAGATGGAAAATATTTCCCATTTGCATGGAGTATCTCTGATATTTAATCCTCAAACTCCGTCTACTCAGTTTTGCTCAAAACTTTCAAAACCTTAAAATTCTTTCCTCAACTTAGGGAAAAAAATCCTAACTAAAAAAGGACAGAAATTCTTTTTTGCAAAAAAAAAAATTTTTAGCATATGACAGAAACTTTTCAGCAGATCTCGTATAAATTTTTCCTCCTTTTATATCCACAACTATAGAATCCCTCTTCTACAGTGTCACCAAAAAACTAGTAAGTGACAAAGTGACATTTGCTTTGGGGACACAGCTCAAAGGTGGCTTTCCCTTTTCCTTCCTGAGCAGCTAAATGGAGTGCACCAGCATCAACTTTGCCCCATCTCCAGGTACCAGTGCTGACCTCTGCCTGCCATCCGCCTCCCCTTTGCTTTGGTGCCCTGCTCCCTGCACGCACTTCCCTCACTGCTGCATGGACACAAATGGAACAGCAGTGGCAAAGCAGAAGTGGGAAGACAAGCAGGGGGCTACAGCTGCCAGTTACTAGAAGAAGGTAGTATTCAGTTTCAGCAGCCTAAGCTGTTCAGAACCCATGGGTGCTTGCTGAGGACCCACTGTCACCAAGCTAGCACCAACAGCGTGGCAGGGAGTGCTCCATGACGTTGGATGTTAGTCCTTCTCACTGTAGCACATGATTTTCCAGCTGCAGCCCACCAATCTGCTGCTCTAGGTGCTTCCCTACTTTGTGGTTCCATGAACTGCTTCTCCTGGGCTCTTTTACCCCTAGGGATCAGCAGAGCAACTTTTGAATGTGGCTAACTGCTGCCTTGCTTCCCCACACTATTTAGAGAGTCCCCTACTGATTAGTCATTCGTATGGATGGAGGGAAATGCTACTAGTACCACCACAATAAGTTGTCATGCTCTTGGGCATGTGTCAAGGATGCCTGGCACACGTTCTGCGGTTGCTGTCAGATCATTTGATCCGTTTGTGTTACAGATCTTACTGATATGACAATTTTTTAATTTTCTATTTGGAGATTTTAAAGACATGCTTCAGAGTGACAGACACTGGCTAACAGAGTCACTCAAATTCACTGATGCGAACACAACACCAAGCATGGATGGACTTGGGTCAACTTCTGACATATCTTTAGCCAGGCAAAATCTTGTAGAAGCAGAAAGTTCAGAGTAGTGTTATCACAGAAGTCAACTGAGCACCATCATTTCTCACTCACTCATTACTTACCTGTAATCGCACATACAAAACCTTCACATCTAACTTTATTTCTGCAAGGATTATTTGTAACACAGTCTTCAGTTTCTGTATCAGAATGATCACATGGATCTCCATTGAACTGAGAAGGTTGTTCCAGGCGGACAAACCTGTACTGTGATGAAATAAAAGATACTGACTCGAGTGTATAGAAATAATGAATTTTAGGGTTCCCTAGTTAATAAAATAAAGTTTGTGTTGGTGAGATCTGATCTAAGAGTAGTGCTGTAAGAAAAAAATATTAGGTAGTGTGGAGAAATGAGGTATTAGTAATGTACCTCATTTGAAAGGTTTCTAATCTAGGAGAGTTTTAATTTTACTAAGCAAGGACTGAAAGGGATGAAGGGATGCTTGCTTTTATCTGATGGTTTGTTTAAATGAGCCTGACAAGGTAGTGTGGATATTTGAAAGAATAAGGAAAGATTCGGTTTTATCTCCTCCCTTTAAATTAACACTGGTAACGACATCCCTTGTTATTCTCTGTCTGGGTATCGCTTGGCCCTCTGTATCATTAAGAGATTTTTTTCCACCCACAACACTGCTGTGAAATAGTCAATTACTCTATCCAATATGTTATCCCTCCTCCCTTTTTCCAGCTACTACGATTAACTCTTTGATACGAAGCTTCACTTTTCCCAGCTCCCATAACTGATTATTCTGGCTGAAGCCAGAGGACAGCTTCTTCAGCTTGTTAACAAATGTCCCTCTAGCCAACCTGGCACGGTACAGAGCAAGGGGCGCTTTGCCATTCCCACTACTAGGATCGCTCCCTCAGTTTGATGGGGTTCCTTGGATAGAAAATGCTCCCAGGAAGACAAGAAAAAGCATCTTAATCCTGAAAGGCACTGAGTGTCTCCAGGTCCCCCATTAGTGGTGAGGGTGCTTCGCACTAGCAGGACCCCCGGAAGAAAATGACTGTGTTGGACAGAACGCCCCTCCTCTTTCAAATAAGCCTGAGTTACACCATCCAAGGACAGCATGGAAATCACTGGAGTAACCGTGTGGGTGAAGAGCTGGAGAGAGCTAATAGCCACCTGAAAGCAAAAGCTTGCAGCCTTCCCTACATCAGCACTTGCAGTGAAGTGCTTTCCTTGGCAGCTCCTGGCCGTTTGTCCAACCCCATGGACAAATAAAGTCAAGGCTTGGAAAAGGTCTTGACTTCCATTTTCTCAGCCTTCCTGCTTAGACCACAAACACTCACCCGTTTTTTTTGACAGGGATCGCACTTGCTCCATGATGACCAGCTGGAGAGCACACACTCAATGGGCTGCGGCAGACTGCTCACGGATCGGGCCCATCTGCCTTTGGTCAGACTCATGTTGGTGCCGCTGAATTTAAGGGACTCCTTTTCACCACTACATTCAACAAAGCAAGACAACTTCAGCATGTGAAATCACTGAGCTGTGAGGACAGAACAGCTCCCACCTATACAAGTGGAAATCTACATGCCAAAAATAATTAACTCCTGTTAGACTTCACTGATTCCTCAATGCAATCTCTAGATTTCAGTGTTGACCTCACACTGGTTTTAATTCTGTATGAAATCTGTCCACTCTTCAATGCCCAAGAGTAGATCCAGCCCTATATAAAACTATCAGCCTGAAGACAGAGCCTACAGACCACTCAGGAAGTGGCTGCAGTACACACGTTTGATTTAGCCTGCTTGGGTAACAACAGAGGTGCCAACAACCTGGGCTTCATCTCAAGCTGCACAGGCCCTCCAAAATAACCTAGAAAAGTGGCCAATAGTAAAATCGGCACCCTTCTCCCTCTTTACCTGCTGCTTGCTGTACGGACAGTATTTCAGTGCCTCACTGTCAGACACAACGAACAACTCCAAGGTCAGACACCTCCATGACAAACACCAATCGCAATGCAAACGACATACACTCAGCGTTTCTGAAAGTACCTCTGCTTGGCAAGTAGGCTATTTTTGCTCAGGCTGGGCAGAAACATTAGTTTTAGACTCTACTCTCAGTTCACATGAAGAGCCACTAACTCATCGATCCCATTCATCTCAGTAATGAACCTGGAGTACGAGCCTCAACTCTTCGCCCCTGCCACTCTCTCATCATGTCACATGACAACTGCCTCCAAGTTTCCACGATGCCACAGCCAAAACATTGCCTAGTCTTTCAGTGGATCCAGTATTTCTGGTTAAATCCTCATCCCAAACAAATACCTTCCTTGTAGCGCTTAATACTTTTATTCCTTGTAAGCGGGAAAACTAAAGTAAAACATGGGCAATTTACTTTCTTTTCATACCTCACTGATGTTCCCAATTCCTCCACTAAGATAAGGAATAGCATCAACTAAAGCTTCAAGTATGATCTAGTGCCTGGCAAGGGGCTCCCATTACTGCATATTCAAAATTGCATAGAATAAAGGAATTAAAAAACTCATCAGCCTACTGATGCGTGAAATCAGAGCTCAAAGTTCAGAGAACAGTGGAAAAATTTAGTTAGATCAGAAACATTACGGTCATTGATTAACCACAGTCCTCTGAAAGAGCAAATTGTATTAAGCTAATAGAGAATGAAACAAATATTAGCCAGACTCTTTCCGTGTATGTACCCCCAAAAACCTGAAACCTCATCGTTCCAAAACTGTTGGGCAGCTAGTACATTAAGTGATTGTGCATTGCAAATAAATTTCCACTGTGTTACAACACGATCCTACCGCTTTATCCTATCAGATTTATCAGAAAGGATTACTTCCTTAAATCAGACACATTGCACTGTGTTCATTTTTAAATAATGTCTTTTGCTATTCATTAGAAACAGCTCAAGATAGCAGTTATTTGCTATACAATGTAAAAGCAGACAATCAGTATTGAATTCCAATATTTATCATATCACTGCATGGATATTTCTTTAGAAACATTCACTTACCTAAAGCCACAAACATTTAGGAAGCCCAGTACTGCATAAAATAGGAACAGTTTGACTGTGTACAAAGTAAACGCTGAACGTGATGTACTCATGAGTCCCAGGTACCACCAGCAATTCGAAATCACCCCAACTCTGGTTCAGTCTGCCAGGGGATTTGAAAATGGCTCAAGCAGAAAAGGATAAATTACTAGGTCATTTTTCCTCACAGTAAACAACAGATGACCCACCACCTGGCAAATTAACAAGGTAAACTTTGTTAGTACATAGCTTTCTGCTAGGGAAGTAGGAAGAAAATAAAGACCAGCTCAGAAGCAGTTTACACTGTCATTTGTAATGGTCCTTTCAGGACACTAAAAAAAATGGATATTTTAACAAACGAAATAAAATACTCAAGTCTTGGCAAAGGAAACAGTCAAGAGGAAAGCGATGAGTAAACTAAACACGGTCTTCTAGAAACAGATAAGAAAACAGATAAGACTAAAATCATTTATTTATTTCTGTTTTTAATGTCTATTTGTCTTTCAGAGGAAAATCAGAGGAAACCATTAGGATCCAATTAGATAAACTAGTGGTCCGTGCAGCTTTAGAACCTAAGTATCAGGTATTAAAGGGTAGGAAACTCTGGACTTACCTAGAAGTTCGTCAGCAAAGGGGAAGCGGTGAGAAGAGATTGCTTCTTCTATTTAGAGGGTTTCACTTTTGTCTTTCCAGGCCTTCTCTTCTCTCCTACAGAATGGTTTTGTTTATGCCTTACTTAAGAAGTCTTTAAAGATCTGATATTATTTGCTAGCTTTTCTATCCCATTTCATAGCTCTTCTATTTTTTAGCCAGGAGTTGCAGGCTCAAGATACACTCAGTGCCAAGAGTCCATGGAAGCAAGACCTGATAGGGTATTGAAACCAAGGTCTTGGCATTTGCTAGGTACTGCGTTGTAACGGCAGTTGTTCTCTTGTTCTCGCTCTTAATTCAATGGACCTAACCAGGGAAAGGAACTTACCAAGGACTTATTTCCATCAGTTAAATTGTGCTTTCACAAGCAGAGCAGAAATTTCAAAATCTTGCAGATTTTCCCCTCAATTGCCTGTCAAGGTGGCCTTCACCGTCACATTCCTTCTAGCTTTCGGTACAGCCCATGATTAAGGAGGTGAATTCAGAGCATCAAGGCTTTTTTTAGTTCGTGAGGAACAGCAGTCCTTCCCTTGATTCTCCTAATTAGTGTTAACCTACACTGAGTGTCTGAAAGAGAGAAAAGTTCTCTGAAGAAGACGGATCAGATTCCCTACTGCACAAACAGTGAGTATCTTCTGTTTTCCCACCTTCCCTCATCTTGCTAGACAAGCAGAAAGGCTCTTTGTAGAGACACAGTCTCTTACTGTGTGCAAATATGGCTTTTAACACCATAGTTGCCTGTCCAGAGCCGGAAGTGTCAGCTGCTTCTATGACACAGAGGCTACTACATTTTAATTTGCTCCTATGGGAATGAAGACACTGAAGATAAAATAACCCATATTCACTAATACACAACAAAACTGACAACCTCAATGTAATGGCTTTGGCTAAGTGCTATACCTCTTCATGTGTCATATTTATCTTATACCTTATACTACTCAGACTATGCAGCCATGTCTCTGAAAAATAAGCAACTGGCTTCTTCATCTTTAGATTAAGCAACTTGACAACAGCAGTGTAACATAAGAAGAAGCACATTAATTGATTCCTTGTGGGACTTGCTCAGAAAAAAAGGACTGTTGTTCAGGCAGCCAGTTTCTCACCTAATGTTACTGAATATGCAGTCAGTGATTAACTGCCCTTTCCTCTCTACACATGGAGGACAAACTATTAGGAAAGATGGCTTCCAACGTGCAAAGCTTGTTTGCCTTTTTCTTCCGTTTCAGATGACTTTGCCCCAGACTAAAATCAAGATGTGCCTATTTGCTTCAGCCTGCTCAACCTTTGACACAATTGATTTAGCTGTTAATCATTTGTGCACAGCTAAAAACCATTTACAGGAAAGCCCTCTCCATCTGCAAGACCTTTGCTGGCTGGGAAATGCAGAACACATCCAGTGTTGCAAGAACACTAAAAGAGAAGCTAAGAATACACGCACAAAACACACACTAGTTTACTAAAGGCAGCAACAGCGCCATGGTGTATGAAGAGCTCAAAGCAACCTTCTCCTGCACGTGGCCATGCTGCTCTTCTCCGGTTTGCTCCTCTCTAACATGCACCTGAAGGGTGACCAAATTAGCTCAAAGATGTCAGTTAGCCACAGCAGCAGGGATGCAGGAGATAGCATACTTTCCAGGGAGAACTGAAACACAAAACCTGGCACTCCACGTAACATATAATCTGCTTTAATTAGAGGTAGGTCTAACATGTAAAATTCAGAACTACAACCACAACACATTTTCCACTTCCTTGCAGTTTGAGTCTTAACGTGCCTGAGGATCGGGGGAATGCTGCCTTGTAACACTGCGTTGTCCTGTTTCCACAGATTTCTTCCTTCTTCATCGCTGAGGGTAATAGCTGTGGTTGTCGGCTGAGCTGTTGGTTAAATCCCAAAGCACTTAGTCCTAACAGTGCTGTAAGTCACTGAATGTGGGTTTTATTACATTTGAAAATGAAGACTCACTAAATATCCATTATGCTCAGTAAGCTTTCAAGTGTAACATGTTCTTTGTAGAGTTGATAACACAAGCCTAAGTTTGTAACTCCTTGCCCCCTGTAAATAAAATCTATACAGTTTCACCAAAGGTGATTTTTTAAAATGGTAGTTTCCTGTCCAAAAATTCCCTGTTAAACTTATCAGAGATGAAAGGCTGGACAGGCATCAGCAAGAACCTGCTTATCATACACTTAATACATTTTCCTCTTTCTTCTTCCTTGAGACTACCTTTTCATTCCTTGCTTCATCACTCGTTATATATGACCTTCTGCAGATGAAGGCAGCTGAAGCATTCAAAGTTAAGAGTGGAGCTCTCCCATTAAGTTCGGTGGTGAACAACTTATGGTTACAAATATATGGTCATCAGACATAAGGTAATTAAATGCCTATCTTGAAATGGGGCCCACAGAGCAGAAGGATCTCTGCAGTTGGATCAAAACCATAAGCTACCTCCTGGATATCCTTACCAGCCTTAGAGAGTGATTTACCAGTGGTGATATAAAGACTACAGTTTATAAATAACACATCCATAAATAAAACTTTTTTTTTCTTTTTTAAACTACAAACTCCATTCCATCATCATTTCTGTTACTAATGCAGTCATTTTCTGGTGATGGAACTGGCATCTGAGAAGTCCTTGATCTCAACAATTCACCTTGTTGAGGTTGTTCTCCTTTCTGTCTTTTGATTCATTGAGAATAATAATGCCTCATAATACCTTGGTCCAAATGAGGCATAGGCTCCTCTACCTTGGAGGTTACAATTCTAAGGGCCTGTGAAAAGGCAGGAAGAGAGTAGTGATAATTATGCGTAAACAATGAAAAAAAGCCCAAAAACCAAACCCAGGACCGTATGTCCCCTGTTGATTTCAAGATAACATACACACACAAATTAATCCATTTTTTTAAAGAAAAATCAAAGATTCTCATAATCTCTCTCTCTCTCTATGTCAAATACTGCCAAATTTACAGTAATTTGCAATAGCTTATAGCATTATAACTCCTTTCTGCTTATTTCTCATATAACAGGCTTCTGACATTGAAGGCTTTTCTGAATTGCCTAATAACTATCTATTGTTAAGGAAGACAAAGATGCCCACAAAAGTCTTCCCTCTGCTAGTGCCTGGCAATAATTCTTTATAATCCTTTATTTTCACAAAAGTCTGAGGCTGAATGGACATTGATTTGCTGCCTGTTAACCTGTTTTTCTTTTAATCTATTGTAATTTCCTTTCCTAGCTGGTTAGAAGTATTTATATAAGTGGTGCTGCGGGAGCTATGAAATGGGATAGAAAAGCTAGCAAATAATATCAGATCTTTAAAGACTTCTTAAAAATATATTCTCTCTCTGAAAGCCACTTAGACGGATAATGTTTGAGGCTATTCTTCTTATTGAGATTTTTCAGGTGCTGATAAAACATTTTAGGGGTGATAGATGAGCCATAGGGCAAACACTTCCATTGAGATAAGACCATTTAAAGCTCTAAAAACTAACAGCTGGATAGTTGTTTCACTAATAGACCTGATATTTCCTGCCTTCTGTAGGATAATTTTAGAAAGAGACAAGGCAATGTTACAGGTAATCAGGAAATCGTATCAGGATTATCTCCCCATATTCCTCACTGTCATGCTGAAATGTATAATTCAGTTTCCATACATTTTCAGACAGCAAGTAAAACAAGAAAAAGAAAAACCTTTACTCTTCTCCATGCCAGCTCTCTGCTTTATCTTAAGTATTAAAAAAAAAAAAAAATTCTTAACGGGACTAATCCTATGTAATAAATCAACATGAGAAGACCATCTTGCAAAAGACCTGCTCTCAAGAGAGTTCATAGAGCTGCCCTTACAAATCATGGCTTTTGCCAGAGTAGCAACATTCGACCACAGCCAGGAACAAGGTGCGAGTCTCAAGGATTTCACATACAGGAGAAACCCATCAAAACCCATAAATGCAGGAACAAGGACAGGGATACCAACAGCCTTAGTATAGATGCTCATGTAAATGACCCAGGCTCACACATTCTTCCAAAACCTGCATTTCCTGGTTGCCACATGGACTTGTACAGTGCTCGTTTACCACTGTGTGCTTCCCATGTTGGTTTAATGAGACAACTGTAGGTAACGGATTCAAATCTCCATAGAAAATGACAGCAGACATCCTCATTCATTCCTTCGCAATGACCTCCTTCTGATTGATAATGGTGTTTGTCAGAAAACTAATAAATACAAACCTGATAAGACACGAGTTGTTTACAGGAAGAAAGGACAGAAAAAAGGAAATGGTGCATGAAAATACATATCACAACCTAGAAAAAGGAAGCAAGAGGTTAGCTTATCTGTTGCAGCAATTGCCATTGTGTAGTGATTAAAGCACATAAAACATTGCCTTAAATCAAAATGTAACATAAACAAGTTAAAAATGCATACTTCCAGTCTACAAAATCAATTGCTTTCTTAGAAGTCACTAATATGAACAAGAGAGATCTGTCAGAGTTCTGCCTCACGCCTGTAAAACAACAGGTTGATTCTGAAAATCTTTTGCTAAATAAATTCTCGATACTACAGGAGATCATGGCCTTAATTAATGTCAGTTAAATTAGTACTATTTCTTGAACAAGTTATATCCCAGTTGGATACTCTGGTATACACTCAACAGATACCTAGTGAGCCCAGGTTACAGTAACATGATTGTAATATGGTACATTGAAGCACCATAGTAAGAATTAAGGGTTTTTTTTTCTGTGATTTTTTCCCTTCTAAACAATGCTAACATGCAGCCATATTCTTCCTACTTTGCGACCCTCCACTACCACTGGACCCTTCTGAATTTTTAAACTCAATCTGCATAGCATCTGTGCAACATGAGCCAGTTTTTCTGATCTTTCAAAGGAAAACAGCTTCACTGTGGGGGCACCAAATGCTTATAAACAAGACTAGATTTGGCCGATGCTGTAAAAATATATTTTAGTTTAAAATCATGCTTAGCTGTATCTCTCTTTTCACTTTAACATTTCACAGCTCATTGGGGAAAAAAAAAAAAAAAAGAACAGATTAGCTTTCTCCTTCCAAGCTTTAAAAGAAACTTGACTATAGTAAGCTATATATGTAGTCATAAGGATAACAATTCCAGCATGTTTCCACAATAACAGAATGACCTTTATTTCTGGCCGACCAAAGTGTCTCAACAACGTTCACTGACAAAAGTAACTGATGTTTCAAGCATGACTTACTGGAC